GCAAAGCCATCATCATCTAAAACAACTGTTTTTAAAATTTTATTTAACTGCTTGCTTTCCCACCTACAAGAACAAACATGTGACTGCTTGTCTTTGAGTAAATTTTCTCAAGGACTTTACCTTTGGGACTTAACCTTTTAAAGCTCCCATCACCTCCCACTTAGTGCAGCATTCTCTAAATTGGCTCAGACAGGAACAGCTGCTGGCCAGCTAAATGAATTAAGCTGATTCAGAAAAAATTAAAAAATAAAATATGATCATGTATTTTTAGTAATAGTGGAAGAACACTACAAAAAACCTAGGGAAGAAATGAAAGTCTGTGAAATATTTATTAAGCAAATTTCATTTCAATGAATTTTGGGTCACTGTTATACCCAAGATGGAAATTTTCAAATTTCTACACATTTCTTCTTTGAAGAAAAAAAGCATTATCGATAAAAATCATCAGCCCAAATATAGGTTTTTAAAAAATAAACCCATAGAAATGGATTTCAGTTTTCTCCTGAATGAAGAAGATAAACACTGTACATTAGATGGTGAGAAATAACCAACAGAAAAGAAAAAAAAATCAAAACACAGAATATAAAACATTACATGAAGCCCATCTCTCTATCCATTGGAAAACCCTGACCAAATACTGGACAAGGGAACCAAAAAAGTGCTAGTAAAAACAAATTAATAAAAATACAGGTGAGAAGAAATTGTTAAAAGATACTTCAATGAAATACAAATTGTCATTAAAAAATCAGATACATCTGCAAAAAGCTAAATGAAATCGATCTAGAAAAAAATGCATGAATTCCTAAAGACATTTGACCTGTCAACATTAAAGGCAAAAGAACGAACATGAAGCTGCATTTCAATGTCTCCAAGGAATGACAGCCGAAGTATAGATCGGATCATTAGCATTAACTCACTTTTTTTTTTCGTTTACTTAACAGTATATTTGGAAAACAAACAAAAAATACAGCTACATAAAAAGTCAGGTATTACCCATGTATCAATATATTTATGTTTTAATTTGTATGTTATATTTCTGAGCTTTTAAATAGAGGATAATGGCATGTGATGTACTTTTCTTTTATTTTTCCAAC